GTCTAACTGCTATTGCTATTGCTATTGCAAAACTTGGCCAGGAGTCTCGGAGAGTCCCGAACCAATGAAGCGAACTAATGATCTCCTGCAAACTTCACTCCCCTGTCGCTCCTCTTTTATTCCCTCTGGGAGGGGCCATTCACCGTACACCTGTGGCCTTCCTCCCAAATCAACCCCTGTTCTTTAGCTGTTCCCTTCGTATGGCCACTGTGCATGCGCACACAGGGAACAGGCTCCAGCTGTTCTTCTGCCTCACTGATGTCTGACTCCGAAGGCAGCTGATAACTGTCAGACGGCCCTTCCCCCCGCCCTCTGCCTCCGACACAGAACCCTTGTCTGAGCCTTCCCCAGACAGCGCTGCCTAGGGAACCATTAGATAAGAGGCTGCCGAGCCCTCAGCTGCCTAACGGGTAGAGCAAAAGGCAGGGAGGGGAACCTTCCCTAGTTCCTCAGACTGCCAAAGAGACGGCGGGAGATTTGCACTCTCGGGCAAAGTAACCTTACAAATAAAGTAGAATTAATTTGCCTGCGTGGTCCAAGGATGACAGAAGCAAGGGAGAAAAGGGGTTTTGTAACAAGTTCCTCGGGAACTGCTCCACAGCACATGGGGGCACCCCCCCCCACACACACAGATGTTTTGCCCAAGGAACCTCTTCGTTTTCTTCGCCTCCCCCTGCAAAGGGGGAGCCCCCCGTGCCAACTTTCTCTCTCTCTCCCGCAGACCTAAAGAACCCCTCAGAACCGGCGGCGCACAGTCCCTTCACCAAACGGCAGGCCTTTTCCCCCACCTCTGCCATGATGGAAGCCTTCCTCCAGGAAAAGCAGCCGGCGGCAACGGCCTCCTCCGTTTCGGCTCCGCCGCCTCCGTCCTCCCCACTCGCCACCAAAACTAACCCAGTCTCCCAGATGTCACCGGATTCCTCCAGCCCTCAGCCGGCCCAGCAGAAATTAAAACAACAGAAAAAGAAGGCCTCCTTGACATCAAAGGTGAGAGAGAGAGAGGGAGAAGGAGAAGGAGAAGAGAAAGAGAGAGAAGATAGAGAGAGGAGAGAGAAGAGAGAAAGAGAAAAAGAAGAGAGAGAGAGAAGAGGGAGAGAAGAGGGAGAGAGAGAGAGAAGGTGAAGAGAAAGAGAAGAGAGAGAAGATAGAGAGAGGAGAGAGAGAAGATAGAGAGAGGAGAGAGAGAGAAAGAAGAGAGAGAAGAGGGAGAGAGAGAGGAGAAGAGAAAGGAGAGAGGAGAGAGAAGAGAGAAAGAGAAAGAAGAGAGAGAGAGAAGAGAGAGAGAGAAGAAGAGAAAGAAGAGAGAGAAGATAGAGAGAGGAGAGAGGAGAGAGAGAGAGAAGATAGAGAGGAGAGAGAGAGAAAGAAAGAGGGAGAGAGAGAAGGAGAAGGAGAAGAGAAAGAGAGAAGATAGAGAGAGGAGAGAGAGAGAGAAAAGATTGGGGGGGAAGGGACCTCTTTCAAATTGGATCTGTTGTCCCCCTTTTGGGGGAGTTGTGGGGATGACATGGGGCCCGAAATCCTGGACTCAAGCTGGCTAGCTAGGATGCCGCTAGTGGATTCCCCTAAGTTAGCCGAGTCCACACATCTTAAAAAGTTGTTGAGTTGTTGAGAAATGCTTCTCTAGGCTAAGGGGCCCCTCCCTGAAATCCAAGGGCCACAGCCCATGCTTGGCCCCCGCAGTCCTTTTACGGCTGACAACTTTTCACCCAGCCGAATGGGGGAAATCAGGAAAACGGTGCCATGAATTTAAATCCCTTTTAAATCGAGTTCTCGTCTTGGCAAAGGCGAAAAGGCTCGGTTGAGGAATGTTTCCCAGCAAGCGTGGTTTGGATCGAATCCGGCCGAGGTCAGCTGCATGCCAGTAGACCCTTTTGGGCTCGGACGTAGCCTTAAAGGGGGGACAGCGCATGGCACAGCAAACGCCAGGCTCGTGGGCGAATTCGCTGTTTCAGCTGCATAGCTGGCCAGCTGCTCGTGATGCCTGAACAAGCCTGTAACTTTGGTGCCAAATTCTGCAGCATTTAGAAAGTTGAGACCAAGGGTGAAATCCAGCAGGTTCTGATAGGTTCTGGAGAACCAGTAGCGGAAATTTTTGAGTAGTTGGGAGAACCGGGCAAAAGCCACCTCTGGCTGGTCCTAGAGTGGGGAGGGAGTGGAGATTTTCGAGTATCCTTCCCCTGCCACGCCCACCAAGCCATGAATTTCACCCCTGGTTTAGACCCTGTTGTATTTTAGATTTTAGATTTGATTTGTTTATTATTTATAGGCCGCCCTTTTCCCTGAGGGGACTCAGGGCGGCTTACAATTTGTG